TATTTCAGATTTGTTTCCAATTTTTTTTTCCGAACTTTTCCTTATTTTTGTATGAGTGATGAGTAAAAAAGCTTAAAAAACAATAATATTACAAAAATATATACCTAACTTGTATAAATGGAAAATGATTTGGATATCCAGAAAAAATGTCCTTAATTCCGGAAATATTCTTAAAAAGATAATCTAAGTTTTAATCGTGTTCAGGATTATCTTACTCCTGATTCCACTCTATCTCTACAAATCTCTTACTTGTCTCTGTATGGAATACTGTTGTCATATTTGGGCTGGTTTTTTTTATAATGTTCTTTTAGACAAAGTCCAAAAATGCATTGTAATTATAGTTTATCTTCAAATCTTTAGCCTCTTACTCACCATCATAAAGTTGCATCCTTTTCCAATTCTACAAATACAATCATGATCAATACTTAAAAAAGCTATCATCTCTAGTTACATCAACTAAATTCTCATTCTTGCTTGATTCGTTATTCACCATAATTTTGTTTGTTTACTGTATCTGTCCCTGCATGCTCTAAAAACCTTTCCTTGCTCTATAACTCTATTCTTTTTTTTTCTTGTAATTCCTAACTTAACAGTGGTTGCTTGCAGCCTTGTATAAGAGCATCATAAGAGCTGATTTTATATAAACAACACCAATGTTGACAATATTTTCCGTGAAAAACGTAAAAAAAAAAAAAAAAAAAAGGTCAAGTTTTAATTTGGGCGGCACCCAAATCAGCACCCAATTACGATTGACGCTGTCAAAAACTGTCTAGAATAGCCACTGATATATATATATATATATATATATATATATATATATATATATATATATATATATATATATATATATATATATATGTATATATAATATATACATATACATATATATTTATATATATATATATATAATATATACATATATATATATATATATATATATACATATATATATATATATATATATATTTATATATATTTATATATATATATATATATGCATATATAATATATACATATACATATACATATATATATATATACTATATATATATATATATATATATATATATATATATATATATATATATATATATATATTATATATATATATATATATATATATATATATATATACAGTCTTGGCCAAAATGGGTAGAACACTAGTGAAAAAATGTATTTTTTGTGTTTTTATTCACTAGCGATTACGGATTAATTACTTTTACAGATTAACTTAGTTTAATTACTTTATTGTTCTTTATCTGTTATAAACTGTGTTTGTTTTATTTTTAGATAATAAAACTGATATAATAGACTTGAAGTAATAATAATCTATTATTATCATAATAATGGTTGGTCAACGATTAGCTCCCAAAATTCATGCACAAATTTCTGTTTTGACGCAAGAGGGTTACTCTACCTGTGCTATTGGACTTAGAATTGGACTTCATTGCAGTACTTTTTGCAAATCAATTGCGATGCAAGCAAAAAGTGGCACTTATTACTACCCCTAATCCAGTGGACGCGATGCACAACAGCTCGGCTTGATTATGCTATCATTCGTGCTGTCACGAAATCTCCTAGAAAGTCTACATTAGCAATACAGTCTGCTATGACCCTAGAACACAAACCAAGTACAAGAACAATTTGTAGACCTTTAGTACAAGTTAGACTTAAATCCTAAAGACCAGCAAAGAAGCCAGTGCTCTCTGCTAAAAACATCCGGGACAGGTTAGCGTTTTGTAATAAGTATAAACATTGGACGGTGGACCAGTAGAAGTCTGTAATGTTTAATGATGAGCCCACAGTATGTCAGTTTTATGCTTTTACCAGACACATCAAGCGCCCACCCAGAGAATGCTACAATGAACAGTTTGTGGTTCTAACAGTCAAAAATGTACCAAAGATCATGATATGTGGTGCAATCAGTGCTCTTGGCAGAAGTAGTTTATGGTTCATGCCACAAGGAACCACAATTAATGCTAAGATATACCTTAAATTGTCTATTTTTATGCCTATACATCTATGCAACTATTTCCAACATGATGGCGCACCCTGCCATCAAGCTGCAACCATCAAGGCTTGGTACAACAACAGGGAGCCAACATTCTCGGGCCGAGGCCTGGCAACTTGCCAGACCTCAACCCCATTGAGAACTGTTGGGTTATTTTGAGGGAAAAGGTGGCTGCTTAAAATCCTACATTTCTGGCGGAATTGCGGGAAACTGTGAAAGCAGGTTGGGCCACTGAAGTTACTCTGAGTTACTGTGAAAAGCTGTGTTTATCAATACCGCACAGAATAGCTGCTGTGCTAAAAAATAAGGGAAAACATACAAAGTATTGACATTTAAATTACTGCTCTGTATATAAGTAGTAATTGACTCTTTCTTGTTTTTGGCCAAGACTATATATATATATATATATATATATATATATATATATATATATATATATATATATATATATATATATATATATATATATATATATATATATATATATATATATATATATATATATATATATATATATATATATATATATATATATATAGATATAGATAGATAGATAGATAGATACACACACACACACACACCTTAAAATGAAAAAAGAAAACTAAAAAAGAAATAAAATTTACAGTTTTGAGTTTTGATTCCAATGTTCGATATTCATCTAACTTTTTATTAAGAATCATTTCTCGCTCCATGTCTCTTATTTTCCATTCTTCTGCAAGCACTTTCATTCGCTCATTTTCTTTTTTTTGAAGCTGAACATTAAAAAAATGTAACAAAATAAAAAAAAAGCTTTCATTTTGTCTTAAAAGTAGAATTTTTAGTAAGTGAAATCCTCACAAACTTAACATTAATCATATGCAAGTTGCATCTATAGTCATTAAAACAATAAATTTACATTTTAAAAGAAGTTCCTTACATACTTTTTAATGCCTACAAACATCAAAATTATCAAAAGCCAGATCAGTTTAAAATCAAGTGCCAACATGATGATAAGCATGCAACATGGAATATTATGATATTTAATATTAAATATTTATTTATTACATATCCTATTATAATTGCATTAAAAGAATTAATTTGATTGATCACTATTTTTTTCAAATAATTTCACAATTAAAGTTTTGTTTAAGTTTGCGGTTTTATTTTATTTTCTAGCTATTTAATTTTTCCTATTAAAACAATAAAACATATATAAAGTCATTTTTTTTCTTTAATCTTAACCAAGCTTGCCAGCCTTTAATAATAACTGGATGTTTTGTATAAAGAAGTTTCAAGCACCATTTTTGACAACAATATCATTAATGATATTAACAAACTTATATTATACAGTTTATGATTATGATGTTTATGATAGAAGATGTTTATTACTTAAACACTACACACTAGCTTTAATGTTTTTTTTCTTCATTCTTAGGCCTTAGCGGTCAATATTTTATTGATATATTTGTTCTAAATATATTTTTTCTAATTGTTAGTATTGTTAGAGTGCTATGTCTGTCTAATTTTTTGTCATTATATTAATATATATTTTTTTAAATCTTCTATTAATTTTTATTTTTTGTCTTGACAAATGTAAAATTATGCTTTGTTCGAAAAAATCATTCTCTTAACTGCAACAGTATATATTAATAGATAAGTTAGGATACAGGCAGATCTATTAAGAATAACTGCAACAGTATATATTAATAGATAAGTTAGGATACAGGCAGATCTATTAAGAATAACATGATTTTGCTTATACAGAGCCAATGTTGAAGAAGACAACAGAAGCGGACCCATATACAAGTTCACTTCTGTTGTCTTCTACATTTTATTTTACTTTATTTGGCATATTTCATATGCCTACCTCTTAAGTGTTCTCTTCTATATTTTTTACTATTTTCTCCTGATCTCACATGCCAACCTCTTTAAATGTTTTCCAACTCTTTTTTTCTTTTTTTACATTTTTTCTAAAAAACTTGAATTTAAAAAAAAAAAAAAATTAAATTAAAAAATTACTTATCCAATCAAATTTAGGACATATTAATATTAAATGTTATTTTTCCAATCAATTTTAGGATATACTAATGTTATAAGCTATTTATCCAATCTTTTATTTACCTTCCACAAAAGGAAAAGATTGATAACTTAGTTGTGAGAAAAAGTAATGAAATCAAGTACCATTGGTACCATATATACCAGTAATAGCATCCATTCATTTAACCTAAATTAACTCATTGAGTTCTATACACAGATAAAGTGTGAAATAGATTTATTTATGAGAAAGATGCACGAACAGGGTACATTTTTTCTGGTTCCATTTCACACAAAAATAGCTTTATTACATAAAAATTTTTTTTTTAATAATTTCAAAAAAAAAAAATTTTAAACATCTTTGGATTTGTCAATTATTTATTTGTTAAGTTGATATTATAGGAAACCTATTTAAAAAAATTGACTGTGTGTGCTTCCTAGATGGCCAAAAAATTGACTATGTGTGCTTCCAAGATGGCCAAAAAATTTACTATGTGTGCTTCCGTTAAAATCATTTATCAAGATGGCTAAAAAACATAAAAATAAACTAATAAGGTGGCTCCAAAAATTCTCAATAGGCTGCTAAGACAACCTCAAAACATTATAATATATGCACTAGATAAACACAGTCAAAATATACAAAAAACCCTGAAAATTATAAGCAAATAAGTTAGAAACTGAAGTAATATACAAAACTAATTTCAGATAATCAGATGTTATATGTAAATTGAATCAGTCGAAAAATGTAACTACAAGTATAGAGTTTAGTACAAGTTTATTACTGTTATTATTATTGTTATTATTATGTTTACTTTTATAAATAATTATTAAACTTAAAATCATTTAAAACAAATGCTATAATTATTATTTTTTTATAATTATTTTTCTTGATTTTTTGTTATTAAAAAACAATATACCTGCTCTTTAAATAACTCTTCTTGTTGGTGTTTCCACATTTCTAATGCAATTGCCACCTGATATTCTTGAGTTTTTCGAGGTGGTTCTATTGAATTTACATGTTCACTTACCGTATTGTCAACAGAGTCTGTCTAAAAAAAAAAAATTAACAAATAATTATAATACACATTTTCTAAATAAGCAACACAATCATTGTATTTAATTGACAATAAATCATTTATAAAAAAGAGAGATTTTAAATTAAGAACCTGAGAGGCTGACGAGTGAACTTGTATTTTTGTTAAAACTTTGCCATGATCTTCCAATCCAATAACAACATGAATACTGCCAATTTTTTTGGCAGGACTATTAAAACAAATAAATTTCAAACTTTTTCAAAATTAAAAAAAAAATAACCAACCAACTTGATTAGTTTTGCCACAACTGCTTTTATATTAGTTGGATAGTGCAACCACTTTGAAGCTCATTTTTTTAATAATATAAATTTAAAGCAAGAACAACCCAAAGCATTTTTAAACCAAACTCCTTTCTTATACAAACTTTATTATTTCAGAGCAAAGCATTTACAAATTAAAATTTATGAACATCATTTACTTCCTTATAAAATTCATAAATACCAATAAAATAATGATATAATTTTATCATGTGGATATTTTTTTCTAATTTTTCTACTAATTTTCTACTTTATTTTATATTGGTCTTGGTATCGAATACTGCAAAGCATAAAAATAAAATATAAAATTAAAGTAAATATACATAGAAGTGGGTCGAAAAGTAGTAAACAAATCAACAAAGTGGCAAATAGTAGGTATGAAGGTATGAAGGTATAAAGGATAAAGATATGAAGGTATGAAGGATGATGTATGAATGATAGCTTAATGATCAGTAAAAGATAAAAAAAAACAAGAAAATTAAAAAACCCAGATAATTGCATCAGATATACTTTAAAGACATTTAAAACAACAGGTGAAAGTAATCTAATATTTTGTCAACTAAGAGCCAATCCAAGATTAAGCTAATCTGAGATTATTTGAACTAACCAAAACATTCAGTGAAATCCATGAAAAATGTACTTCAACAAAATATAAAATAATTTTACTACATTGAAAATAAAAAATTACAAAACTTACTCATCAGCTGAAACCACTGGAACTCGACTGCTTTTAATGGAAGGACCATTCTTTAACTATGAGGGAGAAAAAAATTTAATCATTAAAAAGATCTTAAGGAGGGTCATAAATAATATTTCATAAAAAACACAAAAATAAATTCCAAGTTATATAAAATGACCATAAATAATTATATAAATAGATACAAAAAACCTACCAATCTCAGCCTATATTTCATTTCTTGTGGTAGTATTATACAATATTTTAGTGGTATAGAACATACTGGATTTAAGCCACAATAGTGGTATCAAACACTTTTTTTAAAAAAAGTGTGATTAATAAATGAACCATGTTTTTTCCTTAATTATTTTGTTTCATTTTTTTTCTCTAGTTGCCTTAGTTTCTAACTTCTTAACTAATCTTATTCTTTTAAAAGAATTTAATTTTGCTTGTATATTATATAATTTTTATAACCTTTACATTAAAAATAATTTATCTTTATTTACAAAAAAAATTAAAACAAAACAAAAATAACAATAATAAATTTAGTTTAATAAATAGAATAAACATTCATGAAAAATATTCATAATTATTAATTGATTTATTTGGATAAAATGTCAATGATTTGAAAACAGTTTTATTTTTGTATAAACCCAACGCAGTTTTAAGTGAAAAACGTCCTTACCAATCAAAGCATGATTTAGATGTTTAAAAATAAATCAATTTGTTTATCTTAGTAAACAACAAGAGCGCACTACATTACATTCAAGTAACGAATTAGAAAAAAAATGTTCTTTACAAATAGTTATGCTTATCTTTGAAAAACAGAAAAAAAAAAGATTCTATTAGAATGATATAGTGTTAGACCAGCAATGGAGTGTTAGACCAGTGATAAAGTGTTAGACCAGTGATTGAGTATTAGAATTTTAAAAACACTATCAAAATTTTTTAAAAACCTTTTAGACATACAGCAGAAGAAATCTGCACATGTTATGATTTGGTGTTTATGTAAACTGTACATTACTTAAATTAGCTAATTGTGCTAATTTAAGTAATGTAATTAAAATGCCATTGTATTAGTGCTATTCAAAACTTAAACAACTTAACAAAAACAACTAAAACAATTAACAATTAAAAACAATTAGTTTTAATTAAAGTTACATCATATCAAGTTAAAAAGCAAGAAAAATTTTTGCATTTTCTCATTGAAAATCCTGGCATATCGAACAAAACAATTTCTACAGAGCATTGTAAAAACAATTTAAGGACACTGGTACAATAAAAAGTGAAATGGGAAGTAGAAAAAATTTTTTTTTTTTGTTTAATGAGATTTTGTTAAAAAAATTAAATAAGTCTAAGACAGGAACCCGGAGATTTCTGTTTGAACTTTATTAAATAAATTTAAGACAGGTACCTCCATTACACAGAGAGTGAAAAGAAATTGTGGCTATAAAACATATAAAAAGAAAAAATTCTCATCATGAAGACAAGCAAGAAAATATTGCAATAAACTTGTTGTTCAAAGCAGATCTATAAAAAAAAAACAAAGCTAAAATTTGCTAAAAAATCTTGTCCTGGAAAAGATCTTATTTTTGATATCTTCCAGGACACCAATTTTATTTAGCAACTAACCACTGGTGACAAAAATTTGGCACAATCTTTGATAAGCTAAAACTTATCTTTAGTTATCCAGTCTTAATTTTTTAGTTATTTTGTTTATAAAGTGTTACTTATCTTTTACTGAAAGTTTTGTTTACTTAGATTAATAAAAAAGTTATCCAAAAATGAAGCCGACTACATTAATTGAACAAGTGTACAACTATTGTAATTTGCATCCTAACGCTAAAACGAAGAGCATCGTAGAGTATTTTGTTGCCTCTAATCACCCCGAAAGAACTATTAAACGTTATATGGCAAAGTGAAAAAACAATGAGCCAAATTCTCGTAAGCCTGGATCAGGCAGAAAACCAAAAATTATGACTACTGGGAACATCAATTGCTGGAACTACAACAAGAAAAATTGCAAATAAATTCATGTGTGATCATTCCTACATTGTAAAAACAATAAAAAACAAAACAAATATTTTTTATTTTAAGAAAAAACAAACCCCTGATCGCACTGAGGAACAGTTAAAGCAGTTGCAACTGAAGTGTGGAAGAATTTGTTGCAAATGAGTCTTATTTTACATTTAAACATACAAATAAAAATTCGAATGTTGGATTTTACTCAGATGACACAAAAAATGCACAAACTTTATCACAGTTTTACAACTATAGACTATCAGTAAGACTAAACATTTGTTCAATATTTTATGACAAGAAACTATTTGCTCCATATTTTTATTAAAATGCAAAGTTTAACTCTTTTCAATTCATTCTGATTTATTTTACATTTTTTCAGCATCATGTTCTGTTATAAGTGAAAATAGTGAGGTTATGCTTTATATTTTAACTAAATAAAAATGCAAACATGTATAATTTTTATTATGTTCTTCTATTTGAAATTTTAGATTTGTTAACTTATAAAAAATACCCTGCCTATTGCTCCCAACACCAGGGGCCTCTCTAAATAAGGTCCTTCAATAAGTGTAACAATGGTGATATGGATAACCCCTGCTTCAAATAGAGGGCTATTCTATACCAGGGTGTTGGAAGGCACTGAAGAAAATTGTCTTCTATCAGTAAAAATTGCTATGACTTTTTTTATCATTACTTTTTTTTCTGCATTTTTTTATTTTTATAATTTTTTTTTAATTGAATATTTATGTTGTTTGATTTGTTTTGATTTTTTTAAATTAAAACTTTGATTTTTTCAACAATTAAATCTTTCAACAATTAAATCTTAAAAATATAATTGATAATAATTCAATCACGATAATTCAAATGAACCTCAAATTAAACAAATTCAATATTATTGACATTTGAGATGGCCATACTAAAAATTTTACACTTAAATTAGAAGTAACCAAACTTTTCAAATACATATATACATACATATGTATATATATATATATATATATATATATATATATATATATATATATATATATATATATATATATATATATATATATATATATATTTAAACAATTTAAAATGTATTCTGCAATAAGAGTGCTCAATATTCTTAAAAGAACAGAGCAATTACAAATTAGTAGAAAATCACTTAGTAAAATTTTTTCTCATTTAACACTGTGTTTCATCAATAAAGACTCATCAGAAAATCTGATGAGTCTTTTCTGATGAGTCTTTATTGATAAAACACAGTGTTAAATGAGACAAAATTTTACTAAGTGATTTTTTACTAATTTATATATATATGTATATATATATATATATATATATATATATATATATATATATATATATATATATATATATATATATATATATATATATATATATATATATATATATATATATATATATATATATATATATATATATATATATATATATATATATATATATATATATGTATATATATATATCTAAAATATAAGCTTTGACAAACAAGATGTGAAGAAACAAATTTAGTGCGGTACTACAAGAGACATGGTAGGAATCAAACTTAGAACTTCTTGTTTATGGACCAAGCACTCTATCGCAACACAACTACTGCATATATCTATTTACACACACATACACACACACCACTCTCCATTGACTAGTTTTTAACTATATGAGGAGAACCTTATTTATGCACATTTATAATTTATTACTGTAAACTTAACATAATTTATTTTTAATTTATAATTTATTACTGTTATAAAAACTTTTTATAATTTTTCACATATTAATTTGTTAAAATATATGAAGCCTGAGATAAAGTTAAAGATATTATTTATGAGTCTATGAGTGCACACTGTTTGTAAACTAAGACAATATTTTCAATCTCTATGTCATACATGTTTTCAAATGTTTAACATTTTAAACCCTAATAATGAACTCTTTTTCATGAAAGCTTAAAGCTTTGAACATAACATTTTAAAATTTAAAATTTAACACAGTCCAGCATGGACCAGTTACAGATTACATTTATTACAGGGTCTTACATTAGTATTTTCATTTAAAAGAACATCAGCCAGCCGAATCTGTGCTAATCCAATAAATATATCCTTCATGTTAACTTCTTTATGCCAAATTTCCACCAGTAAAGGTACTCTAAATGTAATTTTGTAAAAATTGGTCCAGAGTCTAATAGTTAAAGAATAATATAATATAAATAGTATAAAATAATAGTATTGATATATTTAATGAACTTTTTCTGCCAAGGTAAATTTGTATTTAGACATTTTATGTGTCAATTTAAATAACACAATTCCATTTAACCAATTTTCACTCATTTAATCAATCATTATTAAGTATCCTAAATCAGAAGATTATCACACATTGAATCAATCCTAAATAAAAAGGTCAGGGTAAGATGGGGCAAGTTCGTCATGTTTTACTCCAAAAAAATGAATTTTCATATAAATAAGTTATTTTTTCTAGTTTAATATTTTTTTTTTATTAATTAGGATCTTTACTATGTTAATGTATTGAATCAAAATAAATTCTAAAGTTACTTTAGCGTAGAACTTGATTTTTTCATCATCAAATCATGAGGGGCAAATTCGTCAATTACATGGCAAATTCGTCAGTACAGTTAAACTTATTAAAAAAAAATATTGCTTAGGCGATAGACAAAATTCCTTACTAGCGGTAAAGGCAGCTTACCTAGGAAAAAAACTTTAACATATAACATTATTGAGGTAACAGTAGAATGATTTCCCTAATCTAGAATAGTTAACCTAGAAGTTCAAAGTTCAATCCCCACCGCTTTCCTGGTAGTACCTCACTCAACTTGTTTCTCTGCGCAGCTGCCTTGTTTGCCAAGGTTCGTGTTTTGGAGTTTTAGAGTTGAGAGAGGGTTGTATCAACTAAAGTAGCCTTTTTAACTGTAGTGGCCTTCATGGCCTTGAGGAGGTGAATTCAAATAAATAAAAATCTAATAGGACGCCAACTGTTAAACTTTTTTTAGAAAATATCAAATAATGATTTTAGCATAAATGAAAACCGTGTAACCGCGCAAGTGCAAGAAATATCATCATTTTCAGCTAAGTAATTAGACAAGGCTTCAGACCACATATGTTTAACTACTTTATTAACATGTGTGTCAAGTGGTTGAAGGCGATGTGTACTACAAGGTGGAATGCATATTACTTCAATATCCATCTCTATTGCTAATTCAATTGCTTCAATAGTCATATGACTTTTGTGGCCATCCATAATTAACAATACTTTTTTTCCATTCACTTTTGTACAAAACTCATTAAATGATGTAAAAAAGCAATAAAAATCTATTGATCAAAATATCCACTTTTACTGCAAAGTACTTTTGTACCCTAAAGAAATTTAGATGCATCTGGAATCTTTGTTCCCTTAAATATGAAAAATGGTGGTAAGCTATCTCCTGCTGCATTGACAGTGGCCAGGTATGTTGTTATTGTGCCACTTTCACTAATAGTTAACTTTTGTACTTCACATGAACCCTTTAATGCTATTACTTTAGCAGAGACACTATAAATATATAAAACAAAAATAAAAACATTATAAATATAAAAATTTAAGTCTAAAGCTCTGAAGCATTTTGAGCATAATTTGTTTTTCTTTCAAACAGCACTTGGTAGTTTAAAAATTTGCATGATGAAATAACCTAATTTATTTTCAGTATTAACTTATCTTTAATGACAAAGTTGCCCCTCATTTTAACATGTGCTAGCAATCATTACATGAAGACTCCAAAAGCAAAAACTTAGCAGCTTAAACTATTATTTAAAAAAAAACTGACATTGATCAACCAAAAAATATATACTTTGTGATCAAAACATTGCGTATTTTGATTTTTTTTTGAACATAGGCATTTAAATAGAAAAATATTTTTTCACCTTCAATGTTTAACTTGCAATATTTAGAGAATAATCGAAGGTAAATATACAAAAAAACATTTATTTAAGTATATTCTACAAATATCAGTTGAAAAAGTTCCGAAAAAACCTAGTAAGTAGACTTCTTAGTTTTTTTGCATTATTATTTTAAAGCTGAGTTGCATAAGTGACGGATTCACTCCGTGACGAATTCACCCTGCCTTACCCTATTCTGTTCCACTATCTAAACTACCTTTCTATGGTGTAAGAAAAGTTGAAATAAACTTGTTTACTGACTATATAATTTTCAACAAGAATGAAGCAAAATAAAACAGTTGGGTTCTTGGATTTTCTTGAAATTTTAAGGGACAGCTTCAAATCATTTTGGAAAAAAAACTTGAAAATGAAATAATATATATAGCTAAAATTCAAATTGCTTTAAAAGATAATTCAATTTAAAGCTTCAGAAAATCTTGACTTTTTCAAAAGTTATCCAAGGTACTTTCAAACAGTCAAAGAGTTTATTGAAATATAAAAAGTGCTTAAACTTTAAAAGCTTCTTTGAAACCATTTTGTTTACAAACATTCTATACTTATGAGCAGTCTCTGGTGAATTGAGATAATAAAATGTTGTAGATTTTTTTAGAAAGAATTTCATATTCATACCTTGAAATTAGGGTTGGCATTTCGCAATGCCAACCTAATAGTGTTTGAGGTCGTAAAAAAATTGCTGACCTCATTTCTATGTTTTATAGTAATCATAACTTAGTATAAAAATTTGTTTGCCGACCTCTAACAGTTTGAGGTTAGCAATTTATTGCCGACCTCATTTTTTCTGATTCTGAGGGTTGCATATTTTATTCACTGGAAAAATGAACTTATTACAACTCAAATTTAGTCACAAAACTGCACATGTTTTGAAAATAATAAAATTTATGCTACCTTTGACGAGCAAAAAGTCAAAAAACCAATAAATTAAAATTTGCTTTTTTGAAAATGGTTGATTTATCTAAATAATCTTAACAAATTAAATTAGTTCAATGTATTTCCTAAACGCAGATATAAAATGGCCTTTGGAATCTATAATAAAACTATAATAAAAAAAAAGGATATATATTTTTCTACAGCATTTGTTTATCACTTCCATGTAATCTGTTCTAAAAACGAAATCTTTCATATAACCTTGCTGAAGGGCGAATCTTGTGGATGTTTACACCTATATTCAGTAAATTTGTGTTTCTAAAACTCTTTGGTACAAGAAATATCAAAATTACAAACAAATATCAAAATTATAATTTATAAATTAATATTAATGTTTCTTTAGTTAAACTCTTTATATAAACTTTTTTTTCTTACATGCATTCTTGCATGCTTATGTACAGGTAAAGGTTTCGGCAACTGAGTTAGCTGAATAACACCTTAAAATAAAGACAGTTTACAATTATCATTATAAATCATAAAGACCTAAATCAATTCTTTTTGCCCAATATTCAATTATTTTTAATTAAAAACTTTTGATTTAAATATTAAAAATAACAATAATTACATTTTTACCAATTTTTTTTTTTTTTAACTGTTTCACACTTAGGCCCTGTGTTAAGTAAACTGTTCAACTATATGATCTACCACACACGAAATATCTTTTGCATACTGATCACAAAAATTGAATGTGTATGCAACGATTTTTTAATTCATCATTTTTGTAAAATAATCAGCCAATATGTATTGATTATTTTACAAAAGTAGTAGTCTTTCTGTATTAATTTTTTTTTGCCTAATTTTTTTCTGAACTCAACAAGTAAGTATATTTTGACAACAATCACTTTTTTTATCAAATACATAGCCATAGGTTTTTTTTTTTTGCACATACTGAAGAATTTGTTTCAAGGAGAATCTAAATTTTCAATACTTTTTGACATTTTGACATAAAACAGACTTAAATCGATATTAACCTAGCAATAGAAAAAGAAACATTGACATACTTAAAATAATTTATTGATATTTTAAAGAGATTTAAAAAAGATTTTGAAGAATTTCATTTTCAAATTGCTGAATTTGATTGTTTATAATCAAAACTAACAAAATATTTTAAAAAACTTTGCAGTTAGGATTATTAAAAACATTGATATCTATCAGTTAAAGTGATTTGTTCCATATCTTGAATAAGTCCTAAAGAGTAAACTTTTTGGTTTGAATGTAAAAGTTTCATTATGCAATTTTGAATAATTTTGTTCTCCCCCCCCCTCCCTAATAACAAATTGTCTCAATTTACTGACCCCTCTCCCCTTAAACTATGCAACAAATTTGCACTCCTTTTACCCCCCCCCCCCACTCTCTTTCACAAATTTCTTTTTGTGGTTTTAAATGTGATAATATTTTTAATTTTCTTACCTGCTTTTAGTTATATAATGAACATATTTTAACATATATAAGTTTATTTTTATGTTAATTTACCTCCCCATAGCTGAGAAGGCCACTACAGTCAAGGAAATTACTTTAGTTGTGGTTACTAGCCTCTCTCAACTCTATAACTCTGAAACACAAACCTTAAAGAACAACGCCACTGTATGGAAAAACAAGCTCAGCACTGTTCTACCAAGGACATGGTGAGATTGAACTCGGAACTTCTTGCTTATTAGACGAGCGCTCTACCACTACCACATAATTAATATTACTTTGAAACCAGGTTATTTAATATTACTTTGAAACCAGATTATTTAAAATGCTCATAAACAAATTATTTTTTTGTAAGCAAAAAATGTTTAGATTTTTTAATTTTTTTTAGTAGTCATATATATACATAGAGCTGTGGATGATTAAAGTTATATACTTTGAGGCCCAGCAAATAAGGATGAGGGTTTATCTCATTTTAAGATGACAAATTTTTGGATTTTGATGTTTTAAAAGTCTATGTTTAAATATTATTTTTGTTTAATTATAACTATATTTATTATTTATACTTTTTCAAGTTTCTCAGAATATTAAAAATAATCAATGCGTACATAAATCGACTGATATTACCATAGTCCCAGTGTAATTACACACATCCAGTGACTTGAATAGGTATAGGGAATGTTAAGCGTACATATATTCTCTTTTGCAACAGTTCAGTATAAAGTTGCATAAATTAAATAGTTGCATAAATTAACAGAGACTAAATAGACAAAAAAATTCCAAAGAATTTTTGATAAATTTAGACTTCATTAGCAATAAGTTAGTATTGCAATGCAAGTTATATTAGTATTAAATATTTAATGCTAATACGTACTAACAATTGTTGTTGTTTAATAATTATATATATTTATGTAATTATAATAATTATAGTTTACTTGTATTTAATAATTAAATTATTATTAAATTTTTTTTCATTGATGTATATATATATCAGCTATATCATTGAGTTATAAAGCCATTATTAGCCAGAATTAGGGTCAGCATTCAGAAATGCCAACCTAACTGTCAAACATGAAGTGTTTGAGGTTTGCGAAAAATTGTCAATTTTGTTTCTATGTTTTATGGTAAAACCATTGTTTGCAGACTTCTAAAAGATTAAGATCGGCAATAATTTGACAACCTCATTTCACCTAATTCTGAAGGCTGTATTTTATATGGGGAGCATGCTGCTAATTTCTCATAAATATTTTCTGACTAAGAGTTTTCCTTAAATGCTTAATTAATACAACCCTTCTCTCAAAGGTAATGTTATCTTTTTAATTCTGCAAAGCTGGTCAGATACTAGAAAATAATTTAGAAATAAATTATTAATTTCTATTATTTATTATTAATTTTCATGCTGGTCTATGGTTGCTTTTCAGGGACCTTTTTGCAATCTTTTTTCTTTTTCTTGGAGGAATTTCATGATATGGGGGTAAGAACTGCTTTGGTACATACCAGTATCTGCCACACTTTTTATAGTGAAAATTTTTAGTGAATATATATTTACAAATAGTAAACACTATAAAGGATTACAACTATGCCATGAAAAATAATAGACATGTTAGGCACTACAAGTATATCCTTATGTATATGGACATGCCTGGGTATATTGTAATGCCTGGGTATATCCTCATGGCTGGGTATATCCTAACTAGACCTATTAAGATTATTTAACTTGTTGAAAATATATAGAAAAGTAGAAGGGAACGAAGGCAAATCAACCATTTTTAAAAAAGCATATAATAATAGTTGCTGACATGTTAACTTTTGCTTACCTTTTTTTTAGAAAGAAAACTTACAACATTCAAAAGACAAAATTAAACTACTTAATGCCTAAAAGTATAAAATTTGTGTAATTGTGTGTAATGTTGTGTAATGTTGTGCAATTATGTGTAATGTTGTGTAATTATGCGTAATGTTATGTAATTGTGTGTAATGTTGTGTAATTGTGTGTAATATTATGTAATTGTTGGTAATGTGTGTAATGTTGTGTAATTATGCGTAATGTTATGTAATTATGTGTAATGTTGTGTAATTGCGTGTAATGTTGTGTAATTATGTGTAAGGTTGTGTAATTGTGTGTAATGTTACATAATTGTGTGTAATATTGTGTAATTGTGTGTAATGTTATGTAATTGTGTGTAATGTTGTATAATTGTGTGTAATGTTATGTAATTGTGTGTAATGTGTAATTATGTGTAATGTTGTGTAATTGTGTGTAATGTTGTGTAATTGTGTGTAATGTTGTGTAATTGTGCCTAATGTTGTGTAATTGTGTGTAATGTTGTGTAATTATGTGTAATGTTGTGTAACTGTATGTAATGCTGTGTAATTGAACATCACTGGGATGGTTTTAACAGAAAAAAAATGCATTGTAGGAAAGTTAAAAGCTAAATTTTTTAAATTAAATCTATAAAAAATAGTTTTAAACCATTTTAATAAAAATTCATCACATTGACTCATTTCAAATAACTTATGTCTTCTTAAAAAAGACTTTTAAAAATAACAAAATTTGAAATTTTCAATGAAACTTAAAACCGCAATAACTTTTTAACCAATTGAATTTATAGTATCAAATTTTCAGGTTTTACTTTTAAAATGATTAGAAGCTATCCCTGAAAGTTCTATGAAAGTAATTTTATGTAATTTTAACTCTTTACTTAAACTTTTTATAATTTTCTCTATTTTATTAGAATTTTTTTTTTTATTTATTCTCCATAATTTCATTTATCAACTACATAATTTATTATCTTGACATTGTATATTTTACTTTTTAAACTTGATTTAAACTTTAATTACTTAATGGTTGATCCTCATTGATTTTTGTTAAACTTATACAAAAAATATATATACAAAAATATAGACAAAAAATGTCAAACTTTACAGTACAAGTACGTAGAAATAGAAATTAGAAATTAAAACAAATAAAATTTATAAAATCTTTTCCAAAAAAAGTTTAAGCAATACATTTAAATACAGACTAAATGCAGAAAAACATACCGATTAAATGTTGTCTGAAGTAGTTGAAAACTTGATGCAAATTCAAATTTACAAAACGAATTTGGAAGAAGAACTTCAGAACCTCTATTTACAATTATTGGTGG